ACAATCTCAAATTATGTTCCCATTGGCAGCCATAAAAGCCATAAGTTTGTCTACTTTTGCATTCAAATCACCAACTTGGTCCTTAAGCTCAATCACTTCCGATTCTTTCTCGCAGCTTTTCTTGTGTCTTTAGAAGCTCTTTCTGACCATTCGAGTCATATGCCTTGCGTCTACTTGGCGGTCTCGGGCCATACCCATAACCTTTTATATATCCAGCTCCATGGCCAAGAACCTCAAGAAGTATATCTTGTGCACTCTTCTCAACGTCTTGTTCAGAATATTTTTCTCTCCTTGATATCATCAAGTCCTGACAAATACCAATAAAAATGAAATAATCATGTTAATATTAATTTCAACAATTAGAATAAGAGATTGTGCATGCAACTTACCCAGTTTTCTTCTGCCTCTTTTGTTGACCAACCACCTTTTTCCTTATAATGCGTACGCTTATAGAGCTCAATCATATCTAGTGGTCCTCCATTCATCTCCTTCTCAGACTATAATAATTTGTAACCGTAAGCATAAAATAAGCATAAAGAGTTTAAATTCAAAAAGAAAAAAAAACTATTGATCATAAATAAATTAATATAGTCAACATAATCTTACTATTTCGTGTCGAAGAACACTAAAAGGTGTTCGGCCTGAAACATGTGGAGCATGCAACATTTGTCGATTCGTCACATTAATCAAACTTTTGTGCTGTCAAATCATAAGTAATGTGGTTGGAGAAAACTAAAAATATGAAAACTACAAATTTAATATGCAAAATAGAAGAATAATGTTAATAATGCATTACCTTGAATTTAGGCGAGGCAAAAAGCTCACACATTTCTTCCCAGTTTTATTGACTAGCACAAAAAGAGGGCTTATTATTCTTAGCTTCTTCATGGGACGAATATTTCTTGTAATGTTTATGCAATCTGTAACGTTTTTGGCGTGAACTAGCTTGGACTCTATCAATCACGCGACGTTTTACACCCGGATCATCCAAATTAATATCCATGTGGATCTAAACAATAAAAATGAGATTATTTAAGATGATATAAATAATGTATTCATGCGACTTGAAAAGTGTTTCTAATTTTTACCTTTATATGATCAATACCAGGTTGAAGATCTTTTTCTTCATCAACGTCTTTCCACCTTACTGGCACCGGAAGTACATCTCTGGTGACTACACCAATCTGACTAGAAAACTTTGAAGACTCGTCTCTACTTTTAGGTCTTCCTATCGATGGATCCACAGTTACCTTTATTTTTTTACCACATGCCTGAAAGGCCTTCATAATACCTTTTACCATTGTTTGTCCACGCCTTTTCTTACTGGTGGTATTGGTGGTATTGTAAGCTGCATATTCACCACTCAATAAGTATATATAATGGTTATTTTAATTAGTCAAAATCGTCTTAATAATAAGATTGTATTTGATTAAAACACTGTGAAAGGAAAAGACAAAGGCAAAGGAAAAGGCGCATTTATACATAGAGCAAACATGATTGAAAATTCTTAACAAACTTAAAATGGTAAATTCAGACTATAAATGAAAAGAACAAACTTTCAGACTATATTAACAAACTTAAAATGGTAAATTCCGACTATAAAATAGTTGTTATGAAAAGAACAACTAAACCAACAAGTAAATCCACCAGGTAAATTCTTAACAAACTTCTAAAATGGTGAATTTCAGACTATGATTAGACAACCCACATTAGAAACAAAGATAAATTCTGAACCACCTAGTAAGTAAATCCACCAGGTAACTTCTAATCCTCAGTTCATACCTACTATACAAAACCACCAGGTAAATCCAATGAATTTTAAAGAACAAACTTTCAGACTATAATTTTAAAGAGAGAACAATTTGCTCCATTGGCAGCTCCCAGTAAAAGAGAGATATATAATTTACTGTCGTCAACAAAACAATACATATAACAACTTATCTCAAGTATTTATAATAGGAAAAAAATCAGAAGTCGAGAAACACAAGTATTGATATCTCAAACAATCAACTCATAGTTGTTT